GAAATTGAAAAACAAAACGAAAATACAACTGGAAATTCATAATTTTAGAAAACAATCAGGAAAAAGAATTGCTTGAAATTGAAAATGTAAAACAGAAATTATATAATTTCTCTTTGTTTGCAAATAATTTGAAATATATTTACATAAACTAGGAAGAATAGTGGTTAACAACAGTTTTTTTTTTTAACGGAAAATTTAGCGAGAGAATAAATAGGCTTTGAAAGTAAAACTTGTCAAGTATTTAATTTTTTTTTAATTTTAATATAAATTTTAATTTTATAATAAATATCAAGTGTATTTATATACACCTTGAGCTATTCATATATATAAGATAAGGATGCAAAATTCATTGTAAAATTTAACATAAAGTTAAACAAATTGAGTCTCCAGCTGACTAAACAAGAAACAGGAAGATATTTGTAAATGTAGTAAGAATCTCCCTTCAGGCATTTAAATCTAAATTTAGATGTTAGACGTTCAGTTAGTTAACTGAAGTGTGCAAAGTATATATTTGTGGGCGTTGCCAGATTGTCGAAATTGTTTAAATGAACTGTTAGGATGCCAAACAATTTATCAGAATGTAAACAAGCTATTTATTCATAGCTAATTTAATAGCTTACAAACTCTGCTCACACAGTTCAATGCCTTTTGCTTTGACATTCGTGATTTTCCCGTTTGTGTATGGGAAAATTTCGGCAAATTTGCCGCCAGAGCATCGAACATATTGCTTATCATTTAAAGCAATCGCAAATCGTTTTACTTTGCATAATAGGACATTGGGATGAAATTATTCAGATATTGTTTGAATAAAAAAATAAATAAATCGGAGTAAGAGAGACAAAAAATCTAATGTAAAGTTTCAGGCAACGAACGGTGCTGCTGCTGCTGCTGCTGTTGCGTTGTCCTTGCGGGGACAGCTCAAAGTTTTTGGCCCAGCCATGTCATTTGCATAGTTTCGCCTGGCGCATCCTTTTTGGGCTGGCTGCTGCCGGATGCTGTTGCCGTTGTCAACAAATCTTTTATGTGCCTATTGGCAAAATGTATTTGAGACAGAGAGAAAGCGTGAGGGAGAGGGGAGAGAGGCAGTGAAATGTTGAAATTCAATTGTCAAACTCTAAGGATATCACAGGCTTTACGCTCGAGTGCGCAATGCAAACTTGTTGTAGGCAACGGCAGCCAAGCAAAAATGTTGGTTTAATTTATTATGGTCTAAACAAATTGCTTAGGCTATTAATGCAGATGTGCTTGAGTGTGTGTGCTTGCCACACCGGCGAATCAGCTGACAAATTAGTTGCAAAGAAGTGCTGCACAGTCCTGATTTATGGCCAACAACAACAACAGCAACAACAACGACAACGAAATGTGGGTCGATGTGCACAGGCAGACATTGCTAGACAATGCTGCCAAATGTACAACCTACTTTTCAATTACAAGGTGCAACCGCAACGTGCAACGCTCAACATGCAACATAGAGAAGCCAGCAGGCAGCAGCACAATGGACCCCGTTGCCCTGGCTGAGTGCATTTAGCTGAATTACAACTGCACTCGCGCGCACATACACCTTGAGCACACGTGCCACAGCTGCCACGCCCATACACACACCCACATACACACTCGCACCCACACCCTGTTCTGTTTTGAGAGTGCATTCAAGTGAACTGCAGCTGTGGAAAGTGGAAAGTGGGTGAAGGCCCTGCTCCGCACATGTCGAAAGACGGGCGCCTTTTATGCCATTGTCTGCATTTAGCAAAAGCTTCTGCTTCTGCTTCTGCTTTGCTTCTTCTTCTTCTCGTTCTTCATCTTTCATGTGATGCGATGCTTGTGAGCCGCTGTGCGGGCCGTCAGAGCAACCCACTCAATGCCAGCATAAAGTGGACTTTCTAGGGCCATTCCGCATACTCGTACAGTACGTACTGGCAGTGAAAGGCCTTCAGGCATCAGAGTGAACATTAACAACATTTCTCATATAATTTGCACATAATTTGCACGAATTTTGCTTTTGCTAATTAGTTATGCATTTAGCATCAGCAAATCAGCTGCACAGTAACTGGGTTTAGGCTAATTACTAAATAAACTTAAATGGAAATAGAAATGAAGTATTACAGCTACAACTACAGCTAGAGCTTGTTAACGGCGCCCGCCTCCTGCTCGGCCACAGTCAGCTTCACTCATTTAATTAGACACCCTGTAAATGATAACATTGTCTTTTGCATAGAATTTGTGCGCTACAAAATCTGGCCAGGCGCATCCGCTGGCAGTTTCCTTTGCCTGCTGCTGCTGCCGCTGTTGCTGTTACTGCTGCTGTAGCTCCCTTTTCCCCTTCCGTTGCTGTTTCCATTTCCACTTCCGGCCTCGGCGCCACCCCACCTGCTCCCCGCATTCGTTCCGCTTTGAAATATTAACCCACTAATGCCGCTAGCTGCTGGGCATGATTCATTTAGCGTCACGTTAACCCATTAAGCACACGATACAGTTGCGGTCGACTCTAGATGTTGTTGCCTCTATTGTTGTTGTTGTTCTTGGCATCCTTGTTATCCTAGCTGCTACTGTTTGGTATAAATGCACCAAAAGCTTAGCATAAATGAGGACAACGCCAGCGTGTCCGGTTACAAAGCTCATTAGCGGCACAGCAGCGCCATCTAGCGTGCCCGCAGCGCAGCCGGAAATGTCGGAATGTAACGTACTACATGACATTTACTATAGCCTTAAGAGCGGATCTTTAAGCTGGCAGATTAACGTAAAATATTATTGAAAAAGTTGAAAATTTATATGGAATTGAGTTTGTTGTTATTATATTGATAATAGAGGTAGATAATATAAGTAGATGAATTGCTAATAATCAGACAAATCAGTGTTTGTTCAAGTAGATGGAGAAGATTTAAATAGATAGATAAAAGGAAAGCTATTTTTATATATAAATAGTTCTAAAGTCTTATATATTATATATATATTAATCGGTATTAATTTAGTTAGTTAGCAAAACATATAAATATAAATATTTAAACAAAAAGCTAATGATTGACCATATTTTAATCAGTTAGCATCTGCATTAAATAATGTTTTTCCACTTATTAGCTCTCAAATGTCTATTAAATATTTAATTTATGCACAACTAAATAACATAAATTGGGTATCAGGCTATAAGCAGCTGCTTAAATGTTTTAATCCTATATAAAATGAAATCAAGAGCTTATTTTTATGCAAACAACTAAAGCTGTGTGGGTTAATGAGTTATTAGGCAAATTGATATTAAGTAAATAATGACGATTATTGCGAGCTAAAGTACTGAAAATTCAATTGGAGAGTGGGCTTAGAATGCGGCTCAAAAGAGATTACAAAGTCATTAGACTCACAGTATATAAAGATTATTGTAATGTAGACAAGCCAGCATTCAAAATGAATATAGTAAACTAACAACTCTATTATATTAAGTATACGTCATGTCTTACAAAAAAAATAATCCCAATTAGCAAATTTTAACAATCTACATTGCAGTCAGCTTGAAAGATTTTTGATAGACTGTTAGACTTTGTTGACTGGGCTAATTCCAAAAGTAAATAATTGAAAAACACTTTGGGCATAGTTAACCTGAACTCGATTATATATATATACATATATATATATATATACATAGTATACATATCTATCTATACAAAGTTTGTGCAGGCTTAACTTTTTGGCAGCGGCAAACTTACAGATTGATGTTGTTTATCTTTTGAGCTGTGTGCAAAGTTGAACCAAGCAGAAGCCAAAACTGACAACTGCGAATTGAGAATTGAGAATTCGAGAGAGCTGCTGCTTGTAAATCGTGAGAAGTGGAAAACGAGCGCTAAGAGCGCGTGAAATGTGTTTTTGAACAATTTGCTTGGCCATTTAGCAGCATAATTAAAGCAACTCGGCTCAAAATTAATTTAACTTGAACATTTTTCAGCAACAACAAAAGGCGCAAAACTTTTGCAGCCAATCAACAATTACAAAAATAGAAAAAATAAATGGAAAATCCAATGAAAAAGAAATGTTTACTCAAGCCAAACAATAAACAATCAAGTTGAATTGAGTGGGTGGTTTGGGTGGCTTGGGTGGTTTGCTGTTGCAACTTTTATAATCAAGTTGCGAATGCAAATCAAGTGGTGCATGGCCCAACCTAATTGGCCAGTTTGAGGCGCTAATAATAAGTGGATAGAGCGAGAGAGTATCCTGTGAAAATTACAAAGCAGCAGACAGCTGACGTCACAGATTCAATTTGTCAGCCTTGTTAACGAGGCGTATGTGTGTGTGCGTCTCTCTCTCTCACTATGTGTGTGTGTGTAAGAAATGATGCGACTTTTAGCGCCTGCCAGACAGACTTACACAATTTGAACTTAATTAAAATGCTTGTCCTTTACTGTCACTGCCCCGCCCCCGCCCCCACCCACGTCCACGCCTACGTCCCAAAACACGAAAAAAAGAAGAAGAAGAAGAAGAAAAAAACACAAGTAGTTGTTAAGTTCGATTTATAACGCGTCTGCACTGCGGTTCGCTGTCTCCCAAAGTGCAAAGCGCTGTCTTTTTACACAGCGCCGTCTCGCCTTAGTCTTAGCCCAGGCTAAGCGAAAGACTCAGCGCCCCGACCACCTCGGGAACTGTCTAATTGAGTTGTACAAGGCTACTACTAATTGCATTCGATGCTTGCCGCTTGAGTTAAGCCGGCGTTGATATAATTAAATTTTATTGCAAGTTTCTCGAGGACAACGACATCGTTTAGCGACAAGGTGTATGTGTGTGTGCGGGTGTGTGGGTGTGCACAATTTATGGCATTAGGATTTTATTTTTAATTAAAATTGTTAAGGGGCCAAGCATAAACTAGAGAATGAGACGGGAATATATATAGTTTGAATTTGTTATTATTATTATTTTTTTTTAATGTCTCATATTTAGTATTTATTTGTCACACAGACATAATATATTTATACATCCATTTTTTCAACACACTCGAAATTTACATAAAATTATAAATTAACATGAAACAGCGAACGGACTACAGCAACAGCCACAACAACAACAACATGGACTTGGATGATCTGTGCGCCTTTTGCCTCGATCCCATTCACGATCCTGTACAGCTGCATTGTAAACATTATTTTTGTCGCAGCTGCTTGTCGCTCTATCGTGAGGCACGCAACTGGCAGGCGAAACGTTGTCCGCTCTGTCGTCGCAGTCTCGAGGCATGCCCCAATGCGTTGCAGCACAGCACGGTCAGCAAGGGCGTAAGTTAAAGTCATTCATGTTGTTGTCTAGCTCAATGATTACCAACCACGTAATACTCTGCAGAGCTGGCGTTTGACCTTTGTCCTGCTGCTGGCTCTAATGCTGTTCAGCTTGGGGCCATTCTATTTGCTGCTGATCTACTGGTAGCCGTTTGTGGCATGCAAGTCAACCAATAACTACATTTATAATTATATATATATATACAGTTAGATATATATATATACGTATATATGTGCACGTGTTCTCTTTGTCGCCAATAATTTGTCTGCTGAAATTTTGTGCCCTTTGTTTCCTTTTTTTTCTCAATGTGTTTGGGCTATGTCCAATAAACCCGTATAATCGTAACAAGCATATATCTTTGGCTGCATCTCGATTCAATTAAAACTTCTTCTAGTTGCTAATTAAAATGTTTGCACAAGCCTCTGGCACCTGCCCACAGAGGGCGCCAGCTTACTTTGGGTGCCTGTGTGTGTGTGTGTGTGCTGCCTGCATTTATATTTTATATGAATTTCATGTATATTTTATCCACATATATGCATGACCACAATCGAATTAACGCCTCAGCTGCATTTCGTACCCTTTTCACATATATATATTTTTTTTGGTCTTGTTTAATTGCATCGTTTTTGTGGGTTTTTATAGCCATTGTTATGTTATGTTGGCCATAAACGCCAAAAACGCATTGGCCGATACGCAAACGTGAATTTTAATGCAATTTTCTGCATGAATAAATCCATCAAAATTGCGATACGCCAGCTGCGCAAGAAATTTTTATAAAATATTGTTTCAATATGCCAAATAAAACGAAACAAAACTAAACAATAATCGACAGAACAAGAAGCTCAGATGGCATTGAGCATGATGTTAAGCCAACAGATGCCCTGTTGTTGTTGAATTGGAAGTGAGTAGTAAGTCAAAGGGGGGGGAGGGAAAGGGGAACTTGAATTGGTTCTGAGATAAGAATGAGCTCTGTGTAGTGAGTGGGAGCTCATGAACTTTTTTTAGATAACTATTATTGAAGAGTGGGGAGAGAGAATGGAAGATAATATGTTTGCTCTTTTTCCCATGATAGACTTTAGTTGGAAATTTTGTATTCCTTTGAGTTTTTAGTTAATAATATTTAACTTTGTTCTTGGTTTGATAATTAGACCAAAATTTTACTAAATTAGAGGGAATTAATAAAAATTATTTTTATATATATATTTTAGGTAAAAATATTTTCATTATGAAATTAATGTTATTCGATTTAGCTGAACGGGTGGGAGTGTCTATGGAGTCTATAGAAGAACACATGGTTTATCCAATGCTTAGTTTATAATTAGAGTCTTCATGTTTTGCTGTTCCACTTATAAAAGAGTTCAAGTTGAGCAAAACTAGAAGAGTCTAGTTTTTTTTTGTATTTTTTTTTAATTGAGAAAGTTCTAGTATTTCCCGATATGATGCGTCCGTTAGAAATAGTAGTATATATTTAAAATTACTGCAGACAGATGGACCGCCAGAAATATACGCACTCCAATATGTTATATATTAATAGAATACCAAATTATATTCCACATTGCTCGTCACTCATATGCCCTCTATCTCTCTCTCCCTTTCGTTCTCATCGCGCTATCAATTACAGGGTAACAGGGTATATAACATGAAAACACATATCGCACTCGGCCGTTATTCATATATTTATTTTCGGTAGTAAATCAAAAAACTCGACCAGCCAGAAACGGACGGAGCAAAAAAAGCTGACTGCGCACAGCTTTAAACGGCACAACATTTGCAATTAAATGAGTGTTGGTAAAGGCGAACAGGCGAACGGGCGAACAGTCGAAATCCCCATCGAAGCCGCAAAATGTATTTGATTTTGAGCCGCGTTCTTCATATGCATGTTGCTGCTGCTGCTGTTGTTGTTGTTGTTGTAGTCATACTATTTGTTGTGCCATGTTTGCAGGCTGTTGTTTGTTGACTATGTGGCCATAATATCGGCCTCGTCACACAGTTGGTGCTGCAGTTAGTGCTACAGCTACACAAGCCACAACCACATGGCCCAAAACAAAACAATATAGCAAAAGTGCGGTGAACGCTTTTCGATTTTGTTATTTTGATAGCTTTGCTCAGTCTCTGGGCTGTGGCAGCCCGCATTGTTGTTGCTATTGTTTCAGTTTTGTTGTTATTGTTGTTTTCTTTTAGTGTTGTTATTGCTCGACTGTGTGTGCAGTATTTGTGCTGGTTGCATAGATTTTGATAGCACGATACGAACACCTGAGCATATAACCAAATATTGGCGCTTAGCATGCCAAGCAGCTAGCCAAAACTCAACAAAAGTCAAATCAACTGCCATAAAGATGAGCGCGTGATTTGGTTAACACAAAAGAAGAAATTGTATGCTAAATTAAAGCTGTTTGAAAGAAAGACAGAGAGAGAGAGAGAGAGAGAGAGAGAGAGAGACAGAGATGAAAGCAGAATGAAATGTTGATAGACTATCAGAAATAAGGGCAAAGATAAAACCGCTTAGAGACAGAAAGAGAGAGAGAGAGAAAAGAAAAGAGAGGGAGCGAGACAAAAGGTTCAAATGAGTGTTAGCGAGGGAAACCGAGAGATAAAGAAAACATTAAGAAGCTTGAGAGACAGAAATAGAAAAAAGAAGGAACATAATATGAGAGAGATATAGAAAGATAAAATCAATTAGTTTATAATTACAAACGTCAATAAATGAATAGTAGTATATTGATTGTATTGCCATATTTTTATGGTCAATTACATATCAATTATAGTTATTTCATAGTATAATAATCCTCAAATGTGGCAAATTTAATACATTTTTTATCACAGGCAAAATGTTTGTTTTACATTTAATTAAATGTGAATTTTTATTTGCAATTTAAAATGAAAATTGAATTTATTAAATTTGATATTTCAGCATTTGATACATTTTTTATGACCTGCTAAAGTTTATAAATTGCTCAGTTTAATATTAAAATAAGCAGATATTTCGCATTATGTGATAAATAAATATTACCTTTAAAAAATCCGTTTATATGATTGTAAAAAAAAGAGAGGCAAAATTAAATCTATATTTAATACAAATAAAACTGCAATTGTATTGTTCATAAATGTCACATATAAATATTTCTGTATATGTGTATGTATACACATAAATATTTATTAAATATTTATGTCATATGCGATAGTTGAGCGTCGCGTGAGAGTTGCGCCAAGTCCTTCGAAGCGGACACTGAGAGTATGTGGAGAGCCGAGAGCTGCAGAGCATTGTGAAGCTGAGAAGCTGCGACAGCTGGGACACTGGGATGTTTCTAATCCCATTGGCCATGACAGAGTCAGGCTTTCGATGGCAAAGAGAAGTAGCTGGGCCCGGTGCTCGTTGCCTGGTGCCCCGTGACCATGCCCACTTCCGCCTCGCACCGGATATGAAACGGCGTTTTTGTGTGCGCCATTTGTCCGATTTGTGGAGCATTTTCGTTGCAGCTTTTTCGACATTCCCCGCCACCCCTCTGCCCCACGCTCCATTGCGTTGCTCTGCTCGCACTTTTTTCCGGAGCGGGGCTTTCATGCGCTTTTCGGGGTTTGTTGTTTGGCTTTTGTGCGGCGCCTGTCGCCAGGCAAATTGAAATGTTTGCAGGGCTTGCAACTAGCTGCACGCCCCCTTTTATTTGTGTTTGCTCTCGATCTTTGACACCCTGTAATTGAAAGTGTTTTTTTTACCTTCCGAGTGTGTGAGTGTGAGTAGGTATGTGTGTCCTTTTAAAGGACTTTAAAATTGTTCTGCAATTGCAGCACAATATTGGCAATAAATGCATTTTGTTTGCTCGGTCGCATGGCTGATTAATTTTTACAAGTGCAACGTGGCACCTGCCAGCCACCAGACACGCCCACAGAGCTGCCCACCTGCCACGTTCGCTTTATCGCGCTGCCTTCGCCTTCTCCAACTATTGCGAGTCGCTCACTTTAGCTCTGCCATCGTCCACTGTTCAGTGTCCACAATTTCATCGATAGCAAGCACAAACTTTGTCCCCACACATACACACATACACACATACACTGATGTATGCACACACACACACACACACACATACATACACACTCGTATAGCCCCTTGCCTTGGCTCATTGCCAATGCATTGTGCGCGATTATTTTGCCGTTTATTTTGCGCGCATTTCTTTTGCTCGTGTGCGACTCAGTGTGCATGTGAGTGTGTCTGTGTGTGTGTGGTGGTGGCTGTGCGGTTCCATATTAAATTTTTGTCACTTTGCCATGTCTATCGTCGCCGCCGTTGCCATCGTCGTCGTCGTCGTCGTCGTTTTGCTGTGTGTGCACCAAATTGGCTGCTTTTCAACAGAGCTGCAACATCTGTTTCATGGCTTGCATATCCTTTGCATATCCTTGCCCTCAAATTGCAGTGCGCCCCCGCCGCCGCCCCCTCCTTGTTGTTATTGTGCCCGCAAAGAGGCAAAATCCTATTCATTATGTCACCGTTACGGCAACAACTTTTGTGGCCCCGTTGTTTTGCCAGCCAAGAGATTTGCCCAATTGCCAGTTTACATGTGCCCCGCCTAAGCAGGGGGGGCGTGGCACCAGGCTGCTTTCATTAAACGAGCCTCAGCCGTCGCCTGCTGCCGCATCAAATTACCAATTTATTTTCTTGGCTGGCGCTCGTTTTTGGCAACGCTTTTGGCCAAGATACGAAACATGCGGCTGATAAATTCTTTTGCATTTTTTATGCAAGTAGCGCGCCACAAAGCCTCTCCCCCCGCCCTCGTACACAACAAAAAAGGTGCAAAATTGTGCTGTGCGCATTTTAATGATATAATTAATTAGTCAAACAGACGCCCAACTGCAAATGCACACGCATACACCCACACACGGGCGTGATATATGTGTGAGTGGGAGTGTGTGTGATTGTGTCCTTGCTGCAGTCGCACTGATTGCCTGGGCTGGATGCGAGGCGACGACCTTTGGGCTGCTTGTCAAAGATTAAGCAAACTAACCAAACGCGCACAAACAAACCGGGCCAAGGGGGCGTGGCTGGCAGCCAGGACACACACACACKCACACACAAACAGACACACAAAGGGCAATTTGTGCGCAGGATATATATGCAGGCGCTGCATTTAGTGCGCTATAAATTCAATTTTAATTTAGTAAATGTGTTTGTTGTCTTTCACGCAGTGACAAAAGGCCAACCGCCATATGCATGTCCATGTCCTGACCGTGTCCATCTCCCCATCTCTCCATCGACCCATATCCTATATCCTTGTCGCATGTGTGTGTGTGTGTGTGCGTGAAAGAGACAAAT